CAATCGAAATTCCCAACTATTAGAAATAATTCATTCTGACATTTGTGAATTAAATGAAAAATTAACTAGAGGAGGAAAAATATATTTTATAACTTTTATTGACGATTGTTCTAGATTTACTTATGTATATCTGATGGCTAGTAAAGATCAAGCTTTTGACATGTTTAAACATTATAATTACACTACAAGAATTAAGGGTATTGCTGACAGTCCTTTAGGGACAATAGAAACTGTCCCTAAAGACACCTCTTTTGGGGACAGTCCTAACTGTTGCGTCTCTAAAAGACCTCTTTTGGGACAGTCCTAACCTTTTCGTCCCTAAAAGGCCCAAAAAAAAAAAAAAAAAAAAAAAAAAAAAAAAAAAAAAAGCCCACTCCAATTTGGTGGTGGCAAAATTTAGCACCATATTTAGTGAAATTACATTTTTTTAATAAAAAAAATTATCAAAAATAGCTTTTTGGGACGGTAATGTACAAAAATTGTCCCTAAAGACATTAGTTTTGGGCACGGTCTTTAATTAATATCTCTAAAGGCCCAAAATGAATTTTTTAATAGAAAACATAATTAAAAATTAGTCTTTAGGGAAGTTAAATGTACTGTGACTAATGTGACCTTAAAAATGACGTAGTTTTTGTCTATTGGTATATATATCATTGCCCACGTAGAACCCTCTACACAACTCTACGCTCTATCTCTCGTCCAAGCCCTAGCTTTCGCTCTCTACTCTATCTCTCGCATCGAAGCCATATCTTTCTTTCTCGATCTACTCTCTCTCTAGATGAAGAAGATGCCGACAAGATGATGTTGTAGATTTGATATCGCCTCCCTATTCGGGTTCTCTCTCTGGTTCACCTCTCTATTCGAGCTCTCCGGTTCACCTCTCTATTCGAGTTCTCCCACTGGTTTAGACACGACAAACAACCATTTGGAGCCACAATATCCTTAATTTGGAGCAAAAAAATCAAAGGTTTTATAACTTTTATTAAAAAAAAAAAAATTTGGGATCTTTCTGTAGTTTTTTTTTATGCAAATACTAATAACCTTTGAAATCTATTTGTTGTTTAATATATTGATGCATCTTGAATTTTCCAGATCCTCTACCATATCTAAGTTTTTTCATCAAATATTTCAGACCATCAAAAAGGGCAATCGCACTTTTTAATACAACTTTGTTCCTTTCTACTCATTGACATTGTAGCTTCAATCTGCGGCTTAAACCCCAAAGCTATTCTCAATACTCTTCTGTAATCTATTCAATAATCTAAACATCATATTATCACTAAAATTTTACATTTTTCTTACTAAACCCATCTTTCAATGTATCCCATTTCCCGGATCTGTAAATTAGGGTTGTATACATATATATGTATCTATGTATGCATGTTTATGTATATTGTATTGAATATTTCAAGTTTTGTGCTTTAATTTTTCGATTATCGATTTGAATCTGGGACTCATGGGTTCCGTTATTTCATTCTGAACTGTGTAATTTTTATTTAGGAACGTCATGTTTTTGGCAAAGATTTGAACTTTATAATGGATTATTGTTTGTTATTGAGTGCTTTTTGTCATCTTTTTAGCAAAGATTTGAACTTCAAAATGTATTATTGTTTTAGTAGTTGTTAGTGTGCGCGCGTGTGTGTGTGTTTTTTTTTTTTTTGGGTAAAGTACACTAACACCCCTTGAGGTTTGGCATAGGGACAGTTAGGTGAAAGTTAGCTCTTTTTGAGACAATGACACCCCTTGAAAGTTCAAAAATGGACAAAGGCAACCCATGCAACCAATTGGCAAAAAATATTGACTAAATTGCCCTTTGACTCTACAAGTTAATAAATTGGACTAATCTACCCCTCATGATCAATTTATGCATCTCTACCGAACTCGCTGCCGGCTCTCTCACCATCACATCACCGGCTATTTTGTCCTCCGGTCTTGGTCTCGGCATGGAGCCTCTCTGTTCACAAGCTTTCGGTGCCAAACGTCCAAACCTTCTCTCTCTACACCTGCATTGATAGAGGAGAAAAGAGAGACCTCCTCAACGAAAACCACCAACAAAACCCAGTCCCGCAGTTCAGACTTCGGATCCATCTTTCTTGCTCACCGTCGCCAGTTTAGAACCTTGCTCGTCGATCTCCTCCTTGCACACCCATCACTGGAATTGTGACCGCAGATCACCACACCATCATCGCCGATTCAGTTCGTCCACCTATTCGTTGACCCATCAGACACAGCTTCGCCGTCAACCACCGCGGATCTCTATCAGATAACACAACAGAGATTGGCTAATTAATTTATTTGCTAAATCAATTTATTTATTATAGTTTTAGTTTCTTCAAGCTAGGCATTTAAAGACTCAAATTCACACACATACGTGATTTTCTAACACTATTTTTAAATGGAAACAGAAGTATAATGTTGTGAAAATATCAAACCGTCACAATGCAGCTGCATTTCTGCCAAATTTTCACTTTGCTTCGCCTTTTAAACGCGTTAAACTCCTATGAATTTGGGAAATATTCAGAATTTTATACATGATGTATATACTCCTTTAGCAAACTCTGCAATTAACAAAGGATTTGATCTAAATTCCTACCTGCTCTGCAAATTTCCTTTTGTGGTTATCCGCATATCTATGTTATCAAGCAGAGCCTAGAATCAGTGCCATTCAATTCTTCCACTTCTATGAATTACGACATTTATAAAGCCAATTGGATTTAGCACTTGTTTAAATTATTATCTTGACTAGAAGAAAATGAGAAAATTGTGCATGTTTTTAATTTGGTTTTGATAAATATTACATCTGCCGGTCATTATTCTGATCCTCCCAATGAGTTTCTGCTCGAAGCCAAGCTGCTGTCTACCAAAAACACAAAACACAGCTACCACCATAAAATAGTCATTTGTGAAAATAAGAAATACTGAAAAAATTTCAAGCCTTAGAATATATCTCATAAATAAATAAATATTTATATATATATATATATATATATATATATATATATATATATATATAACTCACCCAAAATTCCTCATCGATTAGCCACAAAATTCCCGAACTCAATTATATTTTATTGAATGAACTCTTCTATTTTCTTCAGCTTTAACCCTCATTTTCTCTCTCTAAAACTATTCTCTCTCTATATATATCACTCTCTCAGCAATCCCTCACTCCTTTTCCCATTCAGGGGCAATTTCGTCCTTTTAACAGGTCTGTTCTTTTACCATAAATCTGAATTTAATATTAAAGGGCAATTTTGTCTTTTCATATGATTTAAGGCCTTGTTTGGATGGAATTTTTTTAAGGGGGTGTCATTGTCCCAAAAATAGCTAACTTTCACCTGAGTGTCTTTATGCCAAACCTCAGGAAGTGTTAGTGTACTTTACCCTTTTTTTTTTTGGGGTTCCATCTGAACAGTGACAAATTGGGTTGTGTGCAAGTGACTCCGGCAAACTCAGTTGCACTTAGTTGCTTGTGTTCTCCCTTTTATTGCTATGTGGGTAACAATTTTTTTTTTTTTTTTAGAATCTCAATTTAATCTTAATATATTCTTGGCTTGCTTGGTTTAGTTTTTTTTAAATAGGTTTTTTTTTTTTTAGAGAACCTATTAAGAGAATGCCGTTCAAAATTTTATTAAAAAACCTTCAACATCTCTATTAAAAAACCTTCGACATTGTTTTCCCCTAGAAATGGCTATCACCACGTAAATTAAAGAAATGGAAATAGGATCTCTTTCTCTTTTCCCACAAAGCTTTGAGGCTATGCATTCTCTAAAACATAGAACTCAATAGTCAAAAATATAAATTTGAATACACCTTCAGCTGGACTCAAATCACTATATGTGATCCCGCTTATACATACTTGCACTTTGGCACTGCATAAACTGATACTTAGAATAACAATTCATCTCATTTTTTCTTTCTTATTATGTTAAATTGGTACTTTACTGATAGCCACCTGAACGATCTACTGATAAACTATGGATCCACAATTAACTTCTAATGTAACACATTATTTGTACTGTTGTATTGTATCTTAATTTTAATTATTTATTTATTTTTTAATTTAGGGCGGATGAGGAACCTATTTATACAAAGAAGCATCTTGAAGAGTCTTGCAAGCCGAAGTGTGTGAGACCTTTACTCGACTATAAGGTGCTAATTCCATTACTACTTATCTGGTGAAAACAAGAATATTGGGACCAATTTCACTAGTACAATTATTTAGCTGCACCATTTTGTAAATTGGGGCAACAGCTTTATCTATGTTATTAAGCAACAAAATTGCACAACCAAGAGTTTAGAACCAGTAAATCGTCTTCTCCAGAATCCACTCGGCATTAATATTTTCAAAGGAAATTTTAGGTAACATTTGATTCCATATTCAGAGTGCAATCTTCTTGAAATGCTAGGCTTCAAAGGGAAAATAGAACATAATCTACCTTCGAATCATATATTTGAAGTACAATTTTTTTTTTTTTTTTTGGTGCAATGAAAATTCTTTGAACTTTATGTACAAAAATTAATTCTCAATTACATAAAGACGTAGGTTTTAGCTCCAAATCTAATTGCCACTTAAAGGGAAAACAAAACAGATCATCCCATTCACATTTAAGTATTACACAATGCTAGAATGCCTGAATAGTTACTGTTATATACTATTGAGGTGGGCATACTATTATATACTATTATACCCAGAATGCTTTATTTTTTTTTTAAAGAATATGATGGATCATGAATATTGGAGAGTTGCATTTCTTTTTCACTGTTAATGACATTTTATAAATGTTTCGACTTCTTTTACAGGACTTTTGTGTATGAAGTGCTTGGGTGATAAGTTGTTGGAAAGAACTATTTCATCTTTACTTAGGTCCGTATGCCATATAAGAAAGGGTAAGTTCCTCTATGTGATTAGTGTTGGATTCTCTTACCAGAAAAATATGGCATAATGAAATTTGATTCTTGAATCAAACTAATAGTGACACATTATGTAAATCCACATAATCAAAGACTGTAAACTCTGTACATGAAGAGTCAGCATCTTCACTCAATATTACCCATCTGCTGGTTGTACCATGCCCTTCAAATATCATACAGGTACAATTCTAGTCATCACTCATTTTCTACTTGTAGTTGTCTTTAATTGTCTGCTAGTTTTTTATTTATTTATTTTTTTCATGACTATCACTAACTATATATAATCTGCAATTTGACTAAACCACATATTAGTTGCTAATTTGTTCAAAATCTTGTTTTCTCTTATTTCATATTAGAATTTTTTATGTCAGAATTAACTAAGTTTGAGCATTGTTTTATTAAGATACTTCCCCTCAAACTCATTAAAATATCTTTTTCTTAATGTGATTAGTTTAGCCTTTACTATTTTTCTGGTAGAAGTCAATTGTAGGATGAAATGATGCATGGGTTCGGACATGGTTTTGTAATTCCAAGCCGTCAACATGCATCCTTTTTGTAAAAGAGAATAAATTGCTGAGGAAAATAATGCACAACTGAAGGAAGAAGTATAAAGTTTGCCGGAATATATGGAAGGAATTGAGAAGATGCTTCAGCAGCAGCAGCAGATTTTGAAGCTTTCTTATGACTAGCTTATATCTAGCCCTTTGTCTTTGAACTACAAATTTTGTTGGGTATTTGGATTTCTTTGCATTTAGTTTAAAATGATGTTTTAATTTTTTAGGATGTTCGGAACCATTTGATGTTAAAGCAACTAGTAGATATATACTTTTAGTTATTGTTTACAAAATTGAAGAATTTGTAATTTCATCATGAGATTAAGAGCTCGTTTGTTGGCACCGTATTGTGGTGATAATCTATTTTTTTCTTTCTAGAATGATATTGTGGATGTATGTACTTTTCTAGAACACAAATCTAGTAGAGCCAAAAAAAAAATAACAATAATAATAATCAAGTATTAGGGACAGTTTATAAGTGTCACAAATTTATTATTATTAATAATAAAAGCCTATTTGGGACAATCCATATTGTGCATAATAAGTATTGTATTAGAGACGGTCAATAGAGGTTCTATTTGGGACGGAGACGGTCAATAGAGGTTCTATTTGGGACGGTAAGTCCGTCCCTAAAGGTTGATTTTTTTAGGGATGGACAATTTTTACCGTCTCTAAAAAGTTTTTGTGACGCAACTATTAGGGATGGTCCAATTCCATCATTAGGGACGATATTAGGGCTTTTAGGGACAGATTTGACTGTCACTAAAAACCAAATTTCTTGTAGTAAGGCTGAGATTGAAAATCAAAAGGAAAAGAAAATAAAAATTCTTCGTAATGATTGGGGTAGTGAATATTTTTCTAATGATTTTTCTGCTTATTGTGAAGAACATGGAATAATACATCAAAAAAGTGCACATTACACTCCACAAAAGAATGGTTTGGCTGAAAGAAACAATAGGACACTTGTTGATATAGTTAATTCTATGTACGTTGTTGAATGCTAAATTACCTATAAATTTATGGGGTGAAGCTTTATTTACTGCTTGTCATGTGCATAATAGAATTCCATCTAGAAAAACACATATTTTATCTTATGAGATTTGGAAAGGAAGAAACCAAACTTAGAATATCGTAAAGTATGGGGTAGTTTAGCCTTTTATAGAATTCCTGATCCAAAGAGAACTAAATTAGGTCCAAGACGAATAAAAAATGTTTTTGTAGGTTATGCTGAAAATTCTAAATCCTATAGACTATTAAACTTAAATTCTAATGTCATTGTTGAATCTAGAGATGTTGAATTTATAGAAAATAAATTTTGTCATGATTTTTTATCTGAACCCATTCAAAGAAAATCTAATGATTTGGAATCTAATACATCTCTTAGAGACAAAAGGAAAATAAATGATAAAATGACTGTACGTAGGAAAAGTCAAAGAATTAGAAAAGAAAAGGCTTTAGATCCTGATTCTATTTCATCTCAAGCTATAATATTTCTAATAAAAGGAGATAGAAATAAAGTTCTTAATAAAATACTTATTTTATTGAATATAGAAGATGATCCTAAAACATTTTCTGAAGTAATGGCTTCAAGAGATGCAGCTTTTTTGAAAGAGGCTATAAATGATGAAATGGATTCATTGTTGTCAAACCAAACTTGGATTTTGGTTGAATTACCACAAGGATCAAAACCGGCGAATTGTAAATGGGTATTTAAGAGAAAGTATAATACCGATGGATCTATTCAAACCTTTAAAGCTAGATTAGTAGCCAAGGGTTTTAAACAGAAGAAATGTATTGATTATTTCGATACTTATGCACCCGTGGCTAGAATTGCATCTATTAGAGTTCTTATGGTTTTAGCTTCTATTTATCATTTACATGTGCATCAAATGGATGAAAAAATTGCATTTTTAAATGGTGATCTTGAGGAAGAAGTATATATGGAACAACTAGAAGATTTTGTCCTACTTGGAAATGAAAGGAAAGTTTGCAAATTAGTAAAGTTATTATATGGTTTAAAACAAGCACCAAAGTAATGGCATGAGAAATTTGATTCTGTGATACTATCATTTGATTTTATGCATAACAATGCTGATAAATGCATTTATTCTAAATTCACAAATGATTATGATGTTATTATTTGTCTTTATGTTGATGACTTGCTAATTTTTGGAACAAATATGAGAGGTGTTTCTGAAACTAAGAAGTATCTAACTTGATGCTTTAAAATGAAAGATCTTAATGAAGTAGTTACTATCTTAAGAATTAAAGTAAAGAAACATGAAAAGGGGTATGCATTGTGTCAATCGCATTGTATTGAAAAGATGCTTCTTAAATATAATTACTTGGGAATTAAAGAAGCTAATACCCCTTATGATTCAAATATTAAAATGCTTGAAAATTATGGCAGAGCAATTGCACAACTTGAGTATGCTAGTGTTTTAGGTAGTATAATGTATGTTATGCATTCTACAAGGCCAGATATAGCATTTGTTGTGTGCAAACTTTCTAGGTACACAAGTAATCCTAGTACAGTTCATTGGAAAACAATTATGAGAATCCTTGGATATCTTAAGGGAACAGTGGACCAATGACTGTTTTATTATGATTTTCTAGCAGTAAGGATACTTAGATGCTAGTTGGATTTCTAGTGCGAGTGATAATAAGTCCACGTCTAGATGGATATTTACAATTGGTGGAGGAGCCATTTCTTGGGCATCTAAGAAACAGACGTGCATAACACATTTAATAATGGAATCTAAGTTTGTTGCATTAGCGGCAGCCGGCAAGGAAGCAAAATGGTTGAGAAATTTGTTATTAGATATACAGTTGTGGCCACAACCAATACCATCTATTTCTTTGCACTGCGATAGTGAGGCAGCTATGTCTAGAGCATATAATAAAATATATAATGGAAAGTTTAGACATATCAGTTTGAGACATGAGTATGTTAGACAATTAATAACTGATGGAGTTATTAACATAATATATGTTAAGTCAAATAATAACTTAGCAGATCCTCTTACTAAGGGACTCTCAAGAGATTTGGAAAAAATTACGTCTAGTGGAATGGGGCTGAAACTCTTTGTTAAAAATCACCAGTAATGGTAACCCGAATTTGTACTAGAATACCGCTAGTCCAAAGTTTAATGGGTAATAACAAGTTACTGATATGTGGTTGTATAAGCACTGGAAATATATATATATAAACTGCCCCTTCCAAGATGTTAAGTGTAGACTGCTACGTTTTGAAAATGAGTTGTATAATCTTAAAGAAGTTCAAAATTTTGAAGTGTCTATAGTAGCAGGACACATATTGGAACTTCTCCTATACGAATATAAGAAGTGGTGCCGCTTCTAGCAAGGGTTATTAGGGTTTATTCTTGTAAATATTCATGAAATCAGGATGAACATAAGGCCATAATAGTGCTAAAGAAATTGTGAACATCTCATAGAAACTGGATATGATCATATGTGTGGTGTTTCTGGTTTTAACATTAAGGAAACTTGGTTTAAGCCGCGGCCACCATTGTTCTTCGTTAAAACTTTGAAGTACTTACTCTAATTGAAGGTTTAAATCGAGAGATACCTTCTTGTACACGTGGTGATATTACTGTAATTTTGACTAGTAGTTGTATATTACAATATAGTGGAGGATTGTTGAATATATTGTAATACACACACACACACACACACACACACGGATGAATATATGGAGTGAGAGAAAGGTAGTTAAGTGAATGTACCAAAAGTCACGTCTCTTAGGTTTTTACCAACAGTCATGCCTATTGGATTTCTACGAAGAGACATGACTTTTATATTGAAACTAAAAGTCACAACCTCTACACCAAGAGTCATGTCTATTGTATACACCCCTACGTACTTTATAAATAGGGGTGGCTAATTCAGATTTGATATACAAAAATATAATCCTTACTATATTCTCTCCTACTCAATATTCAGTCATTCTTATAATAGTTTCAATAGAGTGTTTAAGGGAATTCTTCCGTATTACTAACGGCAGATTCCGGCTTTGTTGTATCCTGGAAGTGTTTTGCTACAGAACCCGTTAGTAAACTCAATTTGAGTGGGAGCAAATAACACTTTAAGGAAAGTGAATACACGTCTCAAAGTCTGTAGTTTGTTTGACATCAGTGTGCTTGAGAATGTCTGATTATCTCTAACAATTTTTGGATCAATTGTTTTAACAGGGACTCGTTCAAAGTTTTAAACCTTATCTACCACATCACATTCCATTACAAAAACCAGAGGACCCCTTCAGTGCAACGACATAGGTGCACAATATTGTGAGTCCTTAATGCAATAGCAAAAGGTCACATATATTACCCATTAATATAAATAAACTATGAAATAATACAAAAAAAATGAATATGATAAAAAGAGATTATTTCATACAACATTATACTTTATATTTGACAACATATTCATAAGATGTGCCCCAAGGGAAAAAAAGGAAAAAAGAAAAAAGAAACACAATAAATAAAAGAAGCTAAATATATTCATAATATCAATATGTGCCCAAGATCACCTCTTGAATCAATGTAATTTTGTAGATGCAGTTTCTCACACTTGAGCACTTAAAAGAAATAAATCAGAAAGAAATACGCGAAATATAGAGGAGACAAATAGATAATTTTGAAGAGAGGAACAATGATGGGAATTCAATGTCTTTCCATTCTCATTCATGCTTTATTTATAAGCTTTTTTCAAAGAATTACATGGAGCCGTTTTCCGGCATTTTTTCGGGATGCGAGTATTTTATGCATACTGATCGTGTGCTTATTTCTTTTATGACGGGCGTTATGGACTTATGGGCTTGCCGTGATTGGGCTGACTATTTTCATGTCAAGCGAAGCTTTCTTTGCTAATCGGGCCGACTTGTCATGTGGTTTTCGTTATTGGCCTCCCAATCGGTAATGGGCCTCTGGGTGGTTTTAGTTTGTAATAGATTGTCCTTTACTGCCACGTGGTATGTTGCAATTGGTGGGGATTTTTCCTTCTACACTTTGCTCCCGACTCCTTTTATGAATTCAATTCATCTATGGAATTGTAACTGTTGCAGCTGTGACTGCTTATCATTACCATTTGTGCTCTCGATTTTTTGGAGTCTCGTGCTTGCCTTTTCATTATTTACTTTATTTTGTCTATATATGCTGTGCCCTTGCTACCTGGACATCCACACCTATAGTTTTGTTCATGTGTAATTAATTAATTTCAAACTTGTTGAGAAAAGATTAGACGTAACATTGAGTTAATTTTTTTTTTTTTTTTCCTTTTTGGGGTTAAAATGAATCGACTCGAGGTTTCTTTTTTTCCCATTAATTGACCATAACTTTCATCAAATTGGTTCTTCTGTATA